CCTGTCTGTGCTCCTGCACTCTGAAGATGCCGGTCACAGGTGCTGGCGAAACGTTAGGAAACAAAACTTCAAGACCACGGCCGCACAGCCCGGAAGACCCACACCAGCGATCTTTAATTTATCCTCTAATAAGTTGAGCAACTTCTGAAAAATCCTTTTCTTGCCTAGTAATGACAATCCTTATCCTTCCTTGCACTCTTAGTATTTTGCAGGGATGTGGGGGAGGGGGGAGTTGTATTTACCTTAGGTAGCTTCTGGGTAATGTAAATATCTCTAAGTTGATCAAACCTTCCTTTATAATAAGGTGTTTACGCCAGAACTCCTCTTTCCTAAGACACTCTACAATTCTTGTCAAGACCATTTCATTCAATAAGAAATAATTTAATAGAGTCCAATTCCTTAATTATTATATTTATATTTTGCTTTGGTAAACCTTCCTCTTCCTTGGAATTCAAAACATTCTGGGATGCAGTAGTCTCACAATTGTTTATAAAAGCAGAATGGGCAGAGGAACCAATCCCTTTGTCCATTTGTTCATCAAAAGTTTTTTGAACTCCCAATTATTCAACCAATACAAATTTTCAGCAGGGCCAAGTTCTGAAGCCAAATCAAAAGATCCATCATCAGTTTGTGCTTTAGATATCTGAAGTCCAAAGAGTAATCCAAATCAAACTTCGGGGAGGAAACAATATTGCCATCCTATACTTCCCTTAATGGAGAGAAGAAAGATGGGGTCTTAGTTTGCCTTTTTGTTCCTGGAAGTAATTCACTTCCCAATAGTGAAGAAATCCTGCAACTTATAATCTTGTAAGCTTGTCTGGTAAGGATGGTAGCTTAAATCATAGGCCTCCATTTGTTAAGTAATTAAATATAGGGCTACAATATTTGTATTGCTCATAGAAGACAGATTACTATTTTGCTTCATGAACCAGTATTTCATCTGAATTTTTATCGAAGTGAAACATCCTTATGAAGATACACACATGCCTAATGACTGTGAAGATGGTTTTATAAGTAATTCTGCCCTATTCTGTATGGCTTCTAGATGCTCAGAAATATATTCGCTATAACATTTTTTCATGTTTTCATTAATATTGAAACAATATTGTTTTTTATGCTTAAAAGGGCTAATTCTGTTCACAGAATCACAAAATGAAAAGGTTGAGCAACTACTTTAACTCTGCCCAGTGCAGGATTCCACTAGTACAGCATCCCCATCCAGCCTCTGTATAAATAATTCCATCTCCTGAGGCAACCATTCCATTGTTGAACAGCATTAACCATTATTTTTTTTCTGATAACCAGGAAATTAAACTGTTTGTCCTCTCTGAAACAACTCTGAAAAATTCTGCCATGCTATCTACTTTCAGATACTTGAAGGCAGCCATCATGTCTCCCTGAACCTGTTTTCTTTTCTTCAGGCTGATCATACCCACTGGCTTTTCTAGCATCCTAGATGCTGGCCAGACCTCTCAATTTTGTGTCATCCACAAATTCGACAAGCAACCTATCGATCCCATATCAGGTCATCTTTACTAAAGTTTCGTGTTGAATGTGTTGCTGTAGGTACAGTATACTCATTGTATTCAAACTAGTGACTCTATCAAAAAATAAGAGTTCTTCTGTTCCCTCTCCTTCATTAGAATCTTACACAATTGATGCAAACTAAGATAGTGTCTTGTTTAGTGGCATCCAGTAGGCATCATAGCTGTGTATGGATTTGAACAAACTGAAATACTATTCTAACCATAGTATATCTGACTAGCCATTGCAGGAAGTAGAATGTAGGATTAAAGAAGAAAAATCTTAACACTGGAATTTTTGCATTTTCTAAAGGCACAAGTCCTAAAGCCCTTGTGCTATTATTCTCCACGGGAAAGGGAGGCAGACATGGGATCCGACCTCACTGCTTTCTTATTTACTTCCCCTCCGCCGCCTGTTTCATCTCTCAGCCTAGTAGGACCGCGTTTTTTTCTCTTTATTTCCCCGCCCGAATCTTAGATATGAAAGCTAGGAACCAGTAAGTAACACGGAAGTCTTATTCAGAAGGCGTTAGCACAAGGGTGTGTTTGCTTAATAAGAACGCCAGCCGGCGTTACGGGAGCCGCAGCAAGAGCGAACTATCCAAAACTTCTGTTAGCTACGAAGGAAATAACAGTTGCCAAGGCGAGCAGCTTTCAGTCTTGGAAATTAAACTCAGGACAGAGGACAGCCTCTGGGAAGCTGTTGGCATTTAGTCAGTTGATTTAAAACTGACCCATACTGCAAAAGCATCTGATCCTTTTCCTGTTTACCGGAACGGATTCATCTTCAGTCTTTACTTCCTTCCTTGGATTTGACTATTGTACTCTTATGCCTGCTTTCATCCTGAATCTTCTATTTTGTGATACTCTGCACACCCATATTTATTACGGACACGGATCCTTCGTACTACTTCCGATCACAACCCTTGTTAAGGTGAGCTGCGTTTCTTTCTCACCTTTCTTGCGGTCTGTCAGGATTCAAAGGGAGACTTATAGAGGCACTCGCGCACGCCCAGCAACTCGCGTTTTCCTGCGCGTCATTAAACTAGCTGCCTCTTTCCTCTCAAGTCGAGCTTGTTTAGGAGCAAAGTCAGAAATCGCCACAAATCTTTCCTTTCCCCATCCCAACCAAAGCGATTATCATAGGATTCGACCTAGAGCTCCTATGAGCTCGTCCCCGTTCAAGGGACGGGAGCCAGAGAGGGTTGCACTTGAGGGGAAGCGCAGGCCTTTTAAGAAAGCAGATGCAAAAATTAGAGCTTGAGGAAGATTTACGTTTGTGAAGTGATCCGTCTTGCTTCAGGAGGACACAGTTTCTATTCATGACTCCAACTGCCTTTTTAACTGCTATGTCCCTTCCTCATTAAGTACAGGCTTCTCTTATAGTTTTTATATTTGCAATAAATATTTAGGAAGGGGAGAGAGAGATCCCTATCAACTTGTCCAAGGTACATTTATCTGGAATATGCTCCACTGAAATCAGTGGGGCTTACTTCTGAGTTGACATCCTTAGGACTCCACTGGTGATGCAGTTTGAATGTTCAAATTCAAAATCCAAAGTCTGAAATGTTTGCCTTCATTGAAAACACTTCAGTCTAACAAAGTTGCCGGTGCTGTGGAAGCCTTTTGTTTCCACTCCATTCATTCCTGCCTCTTGATATCTGATAGAAAATAACATTTGGAAGTACCTTTCCAGGAACACTGGTCTGTTAATTGGAATCGTCTTGGAGGATATGCTAATGCATTTTACAATGAAAGTCAAAATTACTTTTTAAATGAAAGTACAATTGAAATACATACATAAACATATTAGCCATATTCAGGCACCAATCAAATGGTGTTGAAAGCTTGAATGTCTGCAGGAGAAAAATATTAGGATGTACTACCATACATAACATTGTTTTTCACATTAGCCAGGACTCTGATAATGGACAATCATGGGATGTATGAAAACTAGTGTGCCTACAGAAGTACTTGCAAGGGCTTTTGCCTTATGACATTCAGACTCTCAACATACAACTGAATCCTGAAATTGATGTAACTTGAGTTCTTTCAAAGCAGCTTGTAAACAAAATACATTATTTTAGTAACATCACAATATTTTCAGAAAAGCTTCTAGGCTGCCTCTCACAAGGCAGTTGACAGTAACAGCCTTGTGTGGGAGAAGTGGAGCAGTCCAGCTAAGTAGGTTTCTGTGGTGATCACTGTCTGCCTGCCCTAACTTCTTTTCTAGTATGGAAGTTCAGTTACTCTTATAGAGTCAACTTTTGATTTATTTCAGCCTCTGCTCTGAGCAAAGTCTCATGTTTTCAGTAATCTATGATATAGATTATACTGTTACCTGAGACTGACCTGTGACTATGGGATGTGGCTGATATAACTGTAGACTTTTGCAACTGAGTGGGGAATGCATAACCCAATTCTCAAAAATTTAGACTGAATTCATCTGAGACAGTTATATCTTTGTAGGCAAAGAACTGTGAACCATACAGAAGGAAACTTAATATATTAGCTTTAAATAACTTGACTACTGCAAGAACATCATTCATTACCGTTATAACTGGATAGTGTAATGAGGACCAGAGTTAGAGAAGGGAATTCCCATTTTGTGAGGACCAGTACTATGTTGATGAGATAGAATGTAAAGGGACCAAGATACGACCCTTCTTAAATCCTACTTATGTGGGAATAGAAGCTGTCAGGTTATCTCTGTGCATGTGACATGCCAAGAGGTGTCCTCATGGAATATTATCAGCAGAAGGAGATGTGATCAGTAGATAAGGCTGCAAGTTTTCTTTATAGCTTCTTGCAGAAAATTGAGCCCAAAGCTGTCTTCAAATAAGTGAAGGCAGCATAGAAAGAACCTTGAGGAGCTGAAGTATTTCTGGCCAGGTGGCATAGCATTAACTGATACTGATTTGACACTGATCAACAGTTGAATAATCTGGTGTGAAACCACCTTGTTCCTTGGCTAAGACTGGTTTATCTGTCATCCAGTCAAGAAGTTTTATATAGATGTTTGGCATATAACTTGATGTTTATCCTTAGCAAGCTGATTGGACAATAGTTGGCCAGTTAGACTTGTCATCTTTCTTGTAAATTGGTATTGTTGTAGAATAGGTCCACATTTTCAGCAACTGTAATGAGTCATTGATGTGAGGAAGTAAGAGTGCCAATTTGGTGGCCTAACATTCTGGATTTATCTTTAGGAACTCTGAAGGAATCAAATCTCCCTCCCCTGGTTACTTAGTCATTTTCAATTGGGTAATGAGTTTGAGTAACTCCGAAGTACAGGCCTTGCTCTCTGTCACAAAAATCTACCCAGGTTTCTGATGAAATCAAGTTATCAACTTCAGAAGTGTGTTTTTAGAATTGTGTGGGAGACAAGGAACTGGAACATAGAATAGATTTTCCATGAACTGCTTGCATCAGCCTTCCCCATTCAGCCATTTTCCATATCATCTTCTTCCTTCCCAGGAGTGCCTTATATTTCCTTTTTTAATAGTGCAAAAGATCTCCTGAGAATAGTAGTCATTAGTGCCCCTCATGACTCTATAGGCAGCAATTAGATTGGTCTTGGCTTAGAACAGATGCCTTTTCAAGGCAGGGTTTAAAGAGTTCTTTGCAGGATTTTTGAACAGATAAGAGTGTTAAGCTTTAAGCATTTCTACATAGAGCTAATGATCTGTCAGAAGAGGTTTGAGCCCCCTGGATATATTTTTTATCACTCAACACTCATGAATTGTTTCAGATGTGATGCTTTGGGTATGTTCAGGAAATGTAAGCCTGCACAGGCAGATTCTTTGGACAATCTGGAGCAGGACTAGCTCATTTGCAAGAGGGCTTCTATTTCTTTCTGGGGTCGGCTGCAGGCACCTAAATTAAATGCGGAAGATCCTATTAGGAGGAGAGGATCATAAGCTCTAACTAGCAAAAGGGTCAGGGCTTCAATTTTCAGTTCTACTTCTAGTGTCAAATAATTACAGAAGATAAATGAGGAAATTACTTAGAGGAAATTAAGGTACTAATACTCCCAAGTATGACCATTTCTCTGGCTGGGAAACAGAAAAGGAAATACAGCCTTATAGAAAAACAATGTCAGTGACTCAAGTAGGATGCCTCTGTTTAGCATGCCACTTGACTGTATTCCAAGTGGACAGTTATATGGTTTGTGGTGTAACCAAATATTTATACTGCACTGAGGAGATTGGCACTGAAACTGTTACAGCATGAACCACTGGATTCTGAGCAGAAAGAGAGTAGATTCACTCAGTATCAGGATGGCCTCAAATATTTACTTGTTTGAGTCAGAAGATTTGAGTCAAGCTATGTAGAGTATGAAGGGGTCCTCTCTGGGTTGAGTAATCCTAAATTCTGCTGTAGGACAGGAGCAGGAGCAATATTAGTAACTTCCATAATTTGGGATTTCAGGAGAGATTTTGAGGTGCGGGGCATGACTTCTCTGTCATGAGAGGATAAGGCATCAGACAAAATGGGACAGTAGTGAAAGATAAAACTGATTTTAGCAATTTGCTAAAACCTCTGAGAGTGCTTAATTACTGGTAATTAAGAGTCTGAGAGTGCTTAATTACTGGTAATATGATGTTGTGAAGCCTGTTTTTCGGAAACACTGAAATTCATGTTGGGTGCTGGAGCTGGTTTAAATGAAATAATATCAGAGTATAAGTTAGAGCTGACAAAGCTCTAATCTTTGAAAAATAATTTGTTCCTTCCTTGGTGGCTGTTTAAAGGAATTCTTTACCAAGATTTCTTTAGGAAGAATATTTGGAATTGGAAGAGTTAATGTTTTCTTTGACGATCTTGGCTATCAGTGCTCAAGGCTGTCTTATCTGCTGGGTTAGCAATGCCAGAGGTTAGTTTCACTGAGTGCCTTGGCAGACTGCCTGTGTTTTATGTTAGGGAACAGAGGCTTAGTGTTCAAATCACAAAAGAAATATCACAAAAGACACATAAGAACTCAAGATTGTTTCTGGGATGGTTAGGATTTTATTGTTAACATTTTAATTCCAGGACGGCTGGGATTTAATTAAAATTCTGCAACCATCAAAAAAGGCTAAGATGCCACTTCAATTGCTTCTAGATTCATTTGGGAGTTTGGAACATATAACCACTGGCAGAGAAAAAGAAAAGCTGCCTTCCAGGAAGTCCATCTATGTCTAGTGGTGTTGTTCATAAGAAGAGCATACATAGATCATATCATATATCAGCTGGAAGATATGAAGTGGGGGATTTCAGGATACTAACTCGGGTTAGCATTTCAACTTCTTCAGAAAGCAATAAAATGAAAGCAATAAAATTTTCTAAATGGAAAATTTAGGTCAACCAAAGTCTGATGTCTGTTGTAAAAAGGCAGTGGTTTGCAACAGGTAGAATTGAAAATGCTGTAAGTTACTGTTGGATTTTTGTGTGAGTTGCACCAGCCTGGGCTATTCAAATGATGGTTTAGAGGTAAGTTCTCTTTTAGTAAATGGGGAAGGTCATGTATTGTTTCTCACTGAGTCTTCAGTTTCAGCTGCTATTAAATCAAAAAGATTGAATTGATTACTGAAGATTATTATTATTATTATTATTTATTAAATTTATATGCTGCCCATCTCCCCCAGATAAATAAATAATCCCCACTTACTGCGATGAAGTCTGCAGCTGAAATTAATTTGTCAATCTTCAGTTGGTAGTATGCCGTAAAAATATATTGCTGCTGCTAAATCTGTAAAAGTGGGTAACTAAAAGTAATGAAAAACTAAACAAGAAGAAAGAAAGAAATTCTGCCAAATAAAATGTGCTAAATATTCTGAAATTTAGATAGAAATAACATGGCACCCTGGAAAGGACTTTTAGCTTCAATGACATCACAGAAAAAATGCATTAAATTTCAGTTGCAGTAACATAGTTGATTACACAATGGAATCAGAA